GTGAGTATATTGGTAGGAGAATGTTGGACATGGAGCTGCCAGGCAGGAGGCGAAGAGGAAGGCCAAAGAGGAGGTATATGGACGTAATAAATGAGGATATGAAGCTAGTGGGTGCAAGTGTTGAGGATGCAGAAGATAGGGATAGGTGGAGAGTGATGATTCGCTGTGGCGACCCCTGAAGGGAAAAGCCGAAAGAAGACGTCTCTATGATAATCCAATAAAAATCAAAACAAAGTCTCTGCTCTGCCGCGTCCATGTTAATGAACCACAAACAAACAACAAACCTCAGCTTAGCTAACGGATGTTCTCTCACAGGCTTCAGATGCAAATCATATGATCAAATACAAGTCTCAGGGTCGGAAATAACGCTCACTAAAGCAGTATTTTAACCATGACTTGCTTTACATGATCTCCCTCATGGTTTCTTTCTGGTTTATGGAGCCTGTAAAACTGGTTATTGATCTGTGTGACACTGATGAGGAAATGCAAACTAAAACCAGCTCCCACTCAGTGAAATGTCAGTGTTTATACAGAATGAATGACAGAACCGTGTGCTTAACTATCTTCCTGGAAAACACATCAGATTAGGGAAAAGGCTAACCAAGGATACAGCTCAGATTTTAACAGAGCGGGTAATAAAAAGAGATCTCCCACTTACCTTAACGTTATCTGACATAAGGCTTATCCACTGCGATTATTCACGGCTCACTGAAGCAGTTAGATGAATGTAAATTGCTACAGATGCACTTGCTATTTCCCACCTCTCACCACTAATCCCCAACCAGGAAGTGGCCGAACGTGTTGACAGCGGCTGCATCTGAAATGGTTAAATGGCCAATATGTAGTGCACTAGACAGGGCGTAGAAGACGTTATTTGATACCCTACAAAGTGCACTTACGCAGGGAGGAGGGAGCCACTTGGATCGGCTATGTTTTGAAACTGAAAATGGCGGTAGAGGGCCTCTGCTACCGGCATGATGGAGAAATGTGTTAGTCAGCCAGCAGGCGGCGCTGGAGCATTACACTGAAGTTTCAGGACACGCACAAGTCACATGGGGTGCCTGCTTTCTGGCAGCCTTGCTCATATTCTTCAGTACAGTGAGACAGCAACTTGTCCTTCAGGTTTTCTATTCTATTTCTATTTAGCTATTATTCCTATATTTCTATAAGGTATTTATGTGATTATATATATAGATAATCTCAGACACACACACACACATATATGTATATGTGTATATGTTTATGTATGTATGTTTTTATGTGTGCATATGTACACACACATACACACATTAACACACACACACACATTATATATAACATTAAAACCACCTGGTCCCCCAAAACAGCTCTGACCCGTCGAGGCATGGACTGTGGTATCTGGCACCGAGATGCTAGCAGCAGATCCTTTAAGTCCTGTAAGTTGCGAGCTGGGGCCTCCATGGATGGGACTTGTTTGTCCAGCACATCCCACAGATACTCGATCAGATTAAGATCTGGGGAATTTGGAGGACTAGTCAACACCCTGAGCTCTTTGTCATGTTCCTCAAACCATTCCTGAACAATTTTTGCAGTGTGGTGGGACGCGTTATCCTGCTGAAAGACACCACTGCCATTAGGGAATACCGGTGCCATGAAGGGGTGTACTTGGTCTGCAGCAATGTTTAGGTAGGGTGTACATATCAGCAGTTGTGGCCTAATGGTTAGAGAGTCAGACATGTAACCAGAAGGTTGTGAGTTTGAGTCTCAGGTATGGGGGGGAGTGAATGACCAGCATGCTCTTCCACCCTCCAAAAGCAGAGCAAGACTCTGGGTGTGTGCACTCGGATGGGTTAAATGCAGAGTATAAATTCTGAGTAGAGGTTGCCACATGTCATTTCACTATTAACATCCACATGAATACCAGGATGCAAGGTTTCCCAGCAGAGTGTCACACTGCCTTGCCCTCTTTCCATAGTGCATGGGAAGTGACATACATGAGCATGCTTTCTCACTTCCTGAAGACAGAAAGACCCACAAACAAGCAGCAACTGAAGGTGGCAGCAGTAAAGGCCTGGCAAAGCATCTCAAGGGAGGAACCTTAGCATTCGGTGATATCCATGGGTTCCAGATTTCAGGCATTCATTGACTGAAAAGGATTTTCATCCAAGTATCAAAAATAATCATTATATTTATAATTATGTTAGTTTGTCCAATTCCTTTTGATCCTGCCAAAGTTGAGGAACTATGTAAAAAAATGGTTGTAATTCCTAAATGGTAAATGCAATATTTTTTGTTAAACCATTTGAATTAAAGCTGAAAGTCAACAATTCAATCACATTTTGATTGCTTCATCTCAGATCTATTGTGATGAAGTACAGACGCAAAATTCCGAAAATTGTGTCACTGTCCAAATACTTATGGACCTGACTGTATGCTGGTTTTTCCTTCAATTTGTCACCTGTCTGTATGTTCCTAATTAATATCATGCATCAGTTCTATAATCATGAAACAGTTAACAGCTATGTGCACTAGTAACCCTGCACACAAAGGAAATATTGAGAAATGGTCATATGAAAACCTATATCTTTTATTCCAGTGCTGTTTGACAGAAAATAGCACAATGATAAATCAGAATAAAATGTTACCCCATATATATTAAAACAGGAGTAAATAAAATATATCTAACAACAATGATTAAGACACTTCCCTATATAAATGACATCTGTTAAATTAAAAATAAGAATACACATCGGTTTAACTAGGCATCACTGACAGAACCCGTTTTTTTACATTGTATATTGAGCTACACTGTTATCTTCCCTGGTACACAGTCAACACCAGGCAGGATTCTATTCTAAATTTGGAGAAATAAATCACCGTGTTACATAAATGTGCTTTTATAGTTACCTCGTTCCAAACATGAAAACACTCAACATTGGAAAAATTAGTATTTTATGCAACACAAAGTTAACAAGAACAGATGTTACTGCATACCATACAGAATATTGTATATTCATCTAGCATTCTACATAAATTGTGATATCTGCAGTTTACATATTTAAACTTGATCTTGATCAAGCTGTGGCTTCTAACATAAGGCTAGACAGATACACTAGGAACTGTCACGGTTTAACAGCTACAAAGACCAATATGGTCAAACAATGTGTTATATTGATAGAACATAAGAAAACACTTTTGGCTTTTATATAAAGGAATTCAGTTGAACCTATATTAACTGTAAAACAAACTGAGCATTAATTAAAATCCATGCAATTTCACATGTTAACTTGGGCTTGTGCAATTAAAATGTAAAGTTAAAAGCATTTATGATTAAGCCCTTTTAATTTCAAAACTGCAGCCCAAACAGCTGTAAATGAAAAACCAAAAGGAAAATGAGGCCCATCGAGGCTCATGCTGAATGGCGTTAGATGACTGGCGCTGATCTGTCGTTTGTAACCGTGGGCCGCAACCTGACCGTGGCAAAGGGATTCCCACCTCTGAGAAGGAACAGGGATTATTATTCACACAGAGAAAGAAACCAAAAGAAGTTCAACAGAAGCCACATTCTTCGTGTGTTACTCACCCAAGGAAAGGAGGCTTCGATGTGCCATTTGACAACGACACCTGTTAAATAAAAACATCAGAACTATTAGTACTATTGACAGTGTTTCACTTGCGGTCCCTGGCTCAGTGCAGGCTAAGCAAAGCTGCCCTGTCAGACTGGTTGGATTGGAATATCAGCTCCTTGTTCTTTCAGTCCTGTAGAGAACGATCGACGCCAGGAGACACAACAATATTACATGATCTACAGAAGTAAAGAACTTTGAAATCAGTAAAAGAAAGCAAAGAACTGATGGCGAATTGTGAATATTTTTCTTTACATGTTTTTGAGGGTCAAACAGTTAACATGACTGACTGAGGATATCACTGCTTTATCATTACATCAGTATCACTGGAAATTGATGTAATGGTGTTTCTCGGCAGGTGAAAATGCTCACCACCACCGAGAAGATCATGTGCCTGATGTTGATCAGCTGTATTGGAAGTTAGGAAACCTGTCAGCTGGCCCACAGGACTGGCGTTAAGAAACCTTGCTTTCGAGCACATTGTGTCCATTAGGGGGCAGACTAATGCCATGTTCCCAGATTCCAGCCCTACTAGTTACCCAACAATCCACAGCCAACTGGCAACATAAAGTAGACTTTCTTGCACCTTGCAGTTCCAGCTTTATCCCATTTCTCCCACAGCCAGGGAGTCGGGTTCAACAACTATTTTCTTGTACAGTACAGGGACACTCAGAGAGTGCAACCATAGACGC